ACTCCCTTTGTTTTCACTTTTTACCTGTAATATTTCTTTTTATTCAAGGCCGTTCTTGCCTTAGCTGCATCCTGGACCTCAAGACAAGTAGGAGAACGGACATTGACCGGTACGGTAATAGACAGTGGAGACGGTGTCACTCATGTCATTCCTGTGGTAAGGATTTTAAAAAAATATTTTTTAAATATATTTTATTGATTATGCTATTGCAGTTGTCCCATTTCCCCCCTTCATTCCCCTTTAACCTTCACACCCCCTCCCACCCAAATTCCCCTGGTTTAGTTCATGTCCATGTGTCATAAGTTCTTTGGCTTCTACATTTCCCATACTATTCTTGCCCTCCCCTGTCTGTTTTTTCCTTACCATCTATGCTCCTTATTCTCTGTACCTTTTCCCCCTCTTTCCTCCTCCCACTCCCCTGTTGCTATCCCTCTATGTGGTCTCCATTTCTGTGGTTCTATTCCTGTTCTAGCTGATTGCTTAGTTTGTTTTTGTTTTTGTTTTAGGTGTGGTTGTTAATAACTGTGAGTTTACTGTCTTTTTACTGTTCAAATTTTTTTTAAAGATTTTATTTAATTTTAGGGGAAGGAGGAGAGAGAGACAGAGAAACATCAATGTGTGGTTGCCTCTCACGTGACCCCCACTGGGGACCTAGCCCACAACGCAGGCATGTGCCCTGATTGGGAATCAAACCTGCAATGCTTTGTTTCACAGCCCGCACTCAATCCACTGAGCTACACCAGCCAGGGCCACTGTTCATATTTTTTATCTTCTTTTTCTTAGATAAGTCCCTTTAACATTTCATGTAATAAGGGCTTGGTGATGATGAACTCCTTTAACTTGACCTTATCTGAGAAGCACTTTATCTGCCTTTCCATTCTAAATGAAAGCTTTGCTGGATAGAGCAATCTTGGATGTAGGTCCTTGCCTTTCATGACTTGGAATACTTCCTTCCAGCCCCTTCTTGCCTGCAAGGTCTCCTTTGAGAAATCATCTGACAGTCAGATGGAAACTCCTTTGTAGGTAACTGTCTCCTTGTCTCTTGCTGCTTCTAGAATTCTCTCCTTCATTTTAATCTTGGGTAATGTAATTATGATGTGCCTTGGTGTGTGCTTCCTCGGGTCCAACTTCTTTGGGACTCTCTGAGGTTCCTGGACTTCCTGGAAGCCTGTTTCCTTAGCCAGATTGGGGAAGTTCTCCTTTATTATTTGTTCAAACAACTTTTCCACTTGTTGCTCTTCCTCTTCTCCTTCTGGTACCCCTATAGTTCAGATGTTGAAACGTTTAAGGATGTCCTGGAGGTTCCTAAGCCTCTTCTTATTTTTTTGAATTCTTGTTTCTTCATTCTTTTCTGACTGTACGTTTTTTTCTTCCTTCTGGTCCACTCCATTGATTTGAGACCCAGTTTTCTTGCCATCACTGTTGGTTCCCTGTGCATTTTTCTTCATTTCACTTAGTGTAGCCTTCATTTTTTTCATCTAATTTAAAACCAAAATCAATCAATTCTGTGAGCATCCTGATCACCAGTGCTTTGAACTGTGCATCTGATAGGTTGGCTATCTCTTGATCACTTAAAAGTATTGGCTGTGGAACTTTGATTTGTTCTTCTGTTTGAGCCATTTTTTTTGGCGGGGGGATCTGGTTGCAGCTGTTACATATGAGCGGTGGAGCCTTAGATGTTCACCAGGGTGGGGCAACCTAGTGGCTGGGTTGTGACGCTGTATGTGGGGGCGGGGTCAGAGAGGGAACAACGGAGCTTGCTTTGCTCTCTGTTGGATTTCAGTCCCCTGTGCCACTTTGCAGAAGCAAATTGGGCCCTTCTGGTGCTGGTTTTCAGGTGGGTGGGCTTGTGTACATTTTAGGACCCTGTGGGTCTCTCAAATGAACTCGCCTGTGAGGCTCGAGTCTCTTCTGGCACCTCAGCCTGCACAAGTGTTTTCAATCAGTGCTTTTAGGCTTTATTTCCTGGCACTGGGGCCCTGGGTAGCACGGTCTGTCTTGCTGCCCGTTTTTTACCTGGTTTATCTGCACTCTAACATGTGACTGTGTATGGCCAGCTGCCTTGCATGCCTCACTGGGTCTGCTCGTTGCCTCCCCATGCCCGCCACAAGGGTCTGCTAGCCACTGCTTTTTCCTGCTGCGACCCCTCTCTGCTGGCTGCTGACTCCATCCCTCTTACCAATCTGGATAAATTGTTGTCGGGACTTCTGTACAGTTCAGTTTTCTGTCTGTTCTGGTTGTTTTTTGTTTCTAAAGTTATGTTGTTCTTAATTTTGGTTGTGGGAAGAGGCACAGTGTCCACCTATGCCTCCGTCTTGGCCCAGGATATTTTAAAATTACTGAATAGGACATCAGATAATACATTTGGCAAAGTTAAAATGTATGAATTAATACCACTTCTAAAAACATTAAATGGTACATTTTAAAAATTTGCTGTTATTTGGCCATTTGTTCAGCTATAGCTGTATTTTGCTCACATTGTTAAAATTTTATAAACAAATTCTAAAACATTTCTTTTGCTATAGTTTTGCACTACTGCTAGAAAATAATTAGAAAATTACTAGAAATAGTTTCTAATTCATAATTAGGAACTGATGAATTGGAGTATCTAGAATGGAATACATTGCCTTGTTTTCTTAAACATGGACTTCTGTGTTCCAGTTTGATGTGTGTTTGTGTCTGTTAGCCAGTTGATAGTCTTTCTCATCCTTGATCAACAATTTCACATTGGTGTGTATATTAACTAAATGACACTTGTGAGCATATGACCATTAATGACTTTCAGAGAACTGGTTTTTTTTGAATAAAAAACTTAAGATTGTGCTTTATGATTTGAATTTTAGTAAAGGATATTAAGAAAAATGCGTCAAATTGGGTTGTTGTCCCAGATAGCATTTTTCTGCCAAGGCCTTCGTGCTTCTAATCTCAATAACATATTAACTTTTTTATTGTGCCTCATAGATCTAAAATGACTGCTCAGATTTGTACTATTTTCTTGCTTTCTTTTGAAATAATAGGTTATTTTAATAGTTCTCTTTTATCTTCTTTATTGACTTGTTAGCTATGCTGTCTTTTTTTTAAATGTCATTTGCTAGTTTCTTGGGATTGTTGCTCTAGGGCTTATAAATAGTAAACATCTTTAACTTATCACAGTCTAACTCAAAATACTATTCTAACATTCATAACTCTTCTAGTCTATATTGTCATCATCACTTGTTTTACTTCTACATGTTATTACTCAATAGTTCATATTAATTTGTTTCATTATAAATAGTATGTTAGTTTTGCTAGGGTAGCCATAACAGAGTACCACAGACTGAGAAGCTTAAACAATAGAAAATTAATTTTTTCACAGATATTGAAACTAAAAAGTTTGAGATCAAGTTCTTAGAAGGGTTGACTTCTTCCTGAGGCTTCTCTCTTTGATTTATAAACCTTCTGTTTGTGTCTCAGTCTCATATTAGAGCCCACTCTAATTACTTCATTTTAACTTAATTACCTCTTTAAATGCCTTTATTTCCAAATGCAGTCACATTCTTATATTAGGGACTAACACTTCAACATAAGAATTTTGGGAGGGATAGGTCACAAGTCAGCCCATAACAAAAAGTTGTCTTTAAAAGAGATTTTGAAAAACACATAGAATTCTTTTATATTTACTCACATAAAATTTTTAGTATTCTTTATTCCTTTGTGAACGTCCGTATTTTCATCTAGCATCATTTCTTTCTGTCTGAATGATGGCTTCTAACGTGGTTTTATAATGCTGATCTACTGACTGAATTCTTTCAACTTCTGTACATCTGTTGACAAAATCTTTTTTTTTTTTTGCCTTTATTTTTGACAGATTATTTTACATGATATAGAATTTTAGGTTGATAGTTTTCTTCCTTGCTCTGTTTTTAAAGATGTAGGTCTACTGTCTTCTGACTTATTTTGTTTCTGAAAATGTCTACTGTAATTCCAGTGTTCCTTCCTTTGAATGTAATGTTTCTTGTCTGTCTGCTCTCAGGTTATATCCTTACATATTCTGGGTTCACTAGATTTCAGCCATTTGATTGGGATGGTACCTAAATGTTTTCTTCATTTCTTCTAATTAGCTACTTGGATCTATGGGTGTGTAGTTTTCATCGTATCTGGAAAGGTTTTGTTCCCTATTCACATATCTGCTCTGTCCCTCGTTTACTTCCTTATCTCATAGTTAACTGATAATCTTTTTCATTTTTTCTAACCTTATTTTCCCTGTACCATTTTGGATAGTTTCTATTTCTGTCTTCATGTTCTCTATGTTTTAGTTACTGTTTAATCTGCTATAATTACATTTAATGTATTTTTAATACCAGATCATTTATGTTTGTCTTTAGAAGTTCTGTTTGGGTTTTTTTGTAACTTCCATTTCTCTCTTTCTCATGTTTCCATTGATCTTCTTGATCATATGGAGTATATTAGCTATTTTAATGTCCTTGTCTTCTAATTCTGTATCTTTCACAGCATTTCTGTTTCTCTATTGATTGATTTTTCTGCTGGTCAGGGGTTGTATTTTCCTGGTTTCTTTCTTGCTTATAATTTTTGATTGGGTACTATATATTCAGATTATTAGGTCCTTGATGTTTGGACTCCTTTAAATATATACTTATTTTTTTATGATGGGTGTAGGTGAAGTTGACCCCTTCATTGCCTCCTTTTTATTTTGGCTACTCTTCACTGTTACTACCAGAGGAAACAAAATATTTTGTCATGGCAAATGAATAGTTCCCCAAGAGGAAAACTCCAGGTAACAGAGACAGTCCTGACAGCCCTGCCCCATGGCCAAGGCCACTGCAAAATCTAGAATTGGACAGGTCCTCTCAAATACCTCCTGACACCCAGGGAGGGTCCTGCCCAGAATGGTAACACAAGGACACAGGATCCCTGAAGGGTGACTGGTACTAAGACAGCACCCCACCTTCTGAGCACCGTGGCCTATTCTTTGGGTTGCAGATTCAGGGTCTAGGTGATCATCAACAATGCAGTTTGTGACCTGCAGCAGAAATGATCAGTCCGTGGCAGCAACTGAGGGCTGCAGTCCCCACTCTGGTGCCTTGCTACAGAATGGTGCCCCTGAGGTGTCAGGGGGGCCTGAAGGAAGCCATCATTTTAACATGGGAGAGACTGCCATGTTTTCTCTCCACGATGTAGCTCTTGGGAAAAAATCCCTCATTGACCATCAAGTTGAAAAACAGGTCCTTCTCATGCCAAAATCTATAGTACACCCGGTCCTCTGAGCCATCCACAGCCCTCTTCCTCCTGCTGCTGAGGAAGGGATGGTGCAAGCCATGTGACAGAAAATTCCCATACACATATAATCGGATGGGTGCTACCATGTGGTACTCTGGCAGGACCTTGATGAAATGCTCTTGTCTCCTATCTGGGAAGCACACCTGGCCGGGCTGTGGGTGTCTGCCATAGCACAGCCCCATAAGGGTCAGGAGCTGAGACACCACCGAGAGGTTTGCAAGCCAGCTTACCTGGGCACTGGGCACGTTGTTGGGGAGAGTAAAAGTCACCAAGTTTTAGCTCTCAACTTAAGGAACTGAGTCCTCGCCTGTGGTTGAGCAGGGAGACGCCGGGGTGCATGGTCCAGGAGTGGGGCAGAGTGGTGGCCTCCTATAAGTATTTTTCAAGTTTCTTAGTTCCAGCCAAGATGGAGGCATAGGTAGAAACACTTTACTTCCTTGCACAACCAAAAGAAGGATAAGAACCAATTTAAAAATAAAAAAACAACCAGAACTGCCAGAAAATCACAACTACATGGAAGTTCAACAACAAAGGAGTTAAAGAAGAAACATTCATCCAGAGTGGTGGGAGGAGCGGAGACAGCAGCTTAGCAAGGACTGGTGGCAATGTGGTGGCTGGAGACCAGGCAGGTGAGGCAGAGGCAGAGGTAGGGTTACAGGAGTTTGCACATTCATATGCAGATAAGCCCAGGAGGAACATCTGCGGAGCGAAACAAACTGCAACCGAGGGTTCCAGCGTGGGGAAATCAAAAACATCAAAACCTCTGGCTTAAAAAACTTGTGGGGGTTATGGCAGTGGGAGAAACTCACTATCTCACAGGAGAGTCTTTTGGAGAGGTCCATGGGATCCTAGAACATCCATAAGCCCACCCCGCTGCAAATAAGCACCTGAAAGTTTATAGTCCGCTTGTGGAAAGCGAGAGCCGAACAAGCTGTTAAGCCGGCACTGTTCCCTTTCTAACCCCTCCCCCACATTAGAGCACCACAACACAGCACAGAGGGTTGCCCTGCCCTGGAGAATATAAGGTTCTGTCCCTTACAGCATAACAGGTGTGCCGAGACAAAGAAATATGGCCCAAATGAAAGAACAGATCAAAACTCCAGAAAAAGAACTAAGTGATGAGGAGATAGCCAATTAGGATGCTCACAGAAATGATTGAGTTCAGTCACAAAATGAAGGAAGAAATTAAGGCTATACAAAGTGAAATAAAGGAAAATATATGGGGAACCAACAGTGAAGGAAGGAAATGGGGACTCAAATCAACGGTTTGGACCACAAGGAAGAATTAATGAATCCATAAGGAAGTAAACATTCAACTGGAACATAATGAAGAAACAAGAATTCCAAAAAAATGAGAAGCTTAGGAACCTCTGGGATAACTTTAAAACATTCCAAAATCTGAACCATAGGGGTACCAGAAGGGGAAGAGCAAGAAATTGAAACTTATTTCAATATAACCTATTTAAAAATCATCTTATCTGAAGTCTGCTATGTAAAATATCTAATACTTCTGAAAATCATTATTTCTGTTATTGACCCATTTTAGTCTTGTTATAAATTTGCTGGCCATTCTTGTTACCTGTACAGTATTATAAATTCTGTGATAAGGAAACTATGGAGAATACAGTTGAGAAATAAAGACTGCCAGAATTATCCTGGGATAAAACAATAATTAAGATACAAATACAGTAACTTGAGGTATTGGTCTTTAATAGCTAATTATTTAGGTTATATTAATTTTGAAGACAGTAAATTTGTTACTTTCTTCCCTTCTGTGTAGGCTGAAGGGTATGTGATTGGCAGCTGTATTAAGCACATTCCCATCGCAGGACGAGATATAACATATTTTATTCAGCAATTGCTGAGAGACCGAGAAGTAGGAATCCCTCCGGAGCAGTCCTTGGAAACTGCTAAGGCAGTAAAGGTAAAGAGTGATGAGAGTGTAATTGCGTTAGAAATTAAAATTACATTTATAATATTAACATGACAAATTCTTAAGAACAGTACTTTAAAAAAAACTTGTTAACCAGTTACAAATCATTACTCTTAATTATGTATATATTTTTTGTATTTCTTTATAAGGAAATTTTGGGGGATTATCAAACCATTGCCTGGTCTCTTCACATTTCAACATTTGAGAGGACTTAGCATAAAAGAACATTTCTGCCAGTTGACTAACATATATTTTGGTGATTATTTCCTTTTGTAAAATAAATTAGTTTACGTCAGAGTTCTCAATCTCAATTTCTTCACTGAGTTCATTATTTTGATTTTAATTGTTTTCTGTTAACAGTGTTGTTGATGTGATTGTTTTGGCTATAGAATAGTTGACTCAAGTGTTAATGACAAATAGAAAAATGTAAGGGCTTGTGTGTAAGTTATTTTAACAACTTAAATGCTACATAAGTCTTTATTATATCAGTGTTTCATACAAACTATCAGAATACTTAGCCTTGCTTTTTAAATTTATCATTTGTCAACATACCTAGAAAATTTCAGTGTGTCTATCACATGTTTTGAATACAAGGAAAACTTCCCTGGCAAAAAACGTCATTAGGTTATTTATCTTTGCATGATTATAGGGTTTTTCTCACTCTTGAAAGCATAGGTGGTGAACACTGGTCTGTGGGACAAACCCGGCCCTCCCCCTTTTTTTATTAGACCCAGTGTTACAGAACAGAACAAGGGGGGCCTTGGATGATATACTATTATTGAAAGAAGGCCCTGGGTCCGTTATGTCCGCCGCCCGAGGAAAGACATCTCTCAATGCCAGAGATTCGTGAAAAGGAAAGGAAATGTTTATTTAATGCTATACAAACTTAAAGTAGTGACCTAATGTCTTTATCAAAAATCCCAAAGGCCCCCAAAACACCCACAAACACAGTCCTTCCTTCCTTCCCCCTTTGCCCAGTCCAGAGTACCGTATCTCAGGGAAGGAAAACGAAGTCCATGGCTCAGACAGTCCTCTGGTTCTTCGTTAGTCCTCCTTCTCGACTGAGAGACCTCCCTGGGTTCCCGGCACCCTCGGCTGAGTCGCCGGGATCTCTGCTAAAACCAGGTGGTGGTCCCCCCTTCTAAAGCTGCGGGGGTCCCCACTCTGCCCAGGCCTCGTAGTTCTCCCTCTCAGGGCTGCGGGAAGGGGAGAGTCCCCACTCTGCCAAAGCCACGTGTTTCTCTCTCCTAAAGCAGCACGGTTCTCTCTGGGATGCAGGAGTCTCCACTCCGTCAAAGCCGCGTGGTTCTCTTTCCTAATGGCCACCAAGTCTGGGTTTTAAATCCCCGCGGCCAATCTTCCTCTGCAGCCTCATTTCTGACTCCTCCCACACTCGGCTTCACATGCCGGAACTCGTATCCTTCCAGCTTTGCTGGGCTGCCATCTTGAGTCTGGGCAGGTGTGGCCCCATGTCCTGGAGCCAATCTTCTCCAAGCTCCCACGCAGGCGCTGTAGCTTGGCGGGGGGGATCTGCTCCAGTCACCTGTTGGTGGGGAAGTTACTTCCATTCCCCTGGCTCAGAGATGATCACAGTTATTTAACATATCTAAGCGACCAGCCAAAGGCTATAGATATGTTAAATGACCACCCCAGAGGGTAGCTGCAAGGCTGTTGCTATGCAAAACAGATCTCAATGGCCTTGCTCCATTTGTCCCTTCCCCCAACCCACACCCTGGGTGGGGGGATGGAGACATCTTAAAATCTCCTGGACACCTTAAGTTCTGGACCCCATTTCAAATGCCCATTTGGGGTCCCCCCTCTTGGCTGCACCCTGTAACACCAGCACTTTGTTTCTACCCAGTGGCAGCATTGAGCTCTGGCTTAACTGTTAAGGAGTAGTTACATTTCTACAGTCTTAAAATTGCATTCGGCCCTTTGAAGGCAACCGTGAGGCTGATGTGGCCCCCGGTGAAAATGAGTTTGACGCCCCTGCTGTAAAGGTGTTAGGGATGAAAATGAATTTGCTACTTCTTAAGTAGTAAAGGAATTACCAAATGAGTGCCAAGAGTCACCTCAAGTTGGTGACATTAGTATTAAATATGTAAAAAATGAACATGAGCGCTATTGTTTTAGCATCTTTCGGAAGTACATGGAGTTTAAAAAAAACAAAATACCAAAGATTTAAATCTATTCTAGAGAATACTGATCTTCAGTCTGAATGTATTTTAAGGATCATTATTTCTTTATAATTCCTATTTCTATGATTCAGAGAAAGAATACCTGATACGACATAACCATCTTTTTTGTTTTCTAATATTTTGTTTTCTAATATTTTTTCATTTTATGTCCTTTGATTATCAATAATAATGTTTGCATCTATCTTGGGTACAATTCTTGATGTGTAAAAATATGTGAAATGTATATTTTTCTTTGTAAAGAAATAATGACATTGGCAGTCAAGAGTCCAGAAATTGAAAATAGAATGTTATAACTGATAACCATTTTTGAATTGTATTTTAGATGATAACTTTTACTTGGGACATATGACCAAATATACAATAATCCAGCCTTGAGGGTGATAGAGTGAGAAAGAATAGTTTATATTTTTGGCCTTCTTCTCTTTTGCTTATTTAGTTAGAGAATAATCAATTTTGTTCCTGATAGGTAATTAGGATGTATATGATTTGGATTAATCAATTATTATTTTTCAATTCTTGTGTATTTTATACTCTCTCTAGAATATAGACTCAATTAATTACTGAAATAGTAGAAAATGTTGGATGACATTTATAAATGTTTTCCAACATAAATGTTCATAAATGTTTTCATGAAATAACATTAAAATAGTAGAACTTAACTCTTTAATTTATCAAATCATAACCTATTCATATATAAAGCCAGGAATTATATATAGGAAATGAGTTGTCTATTTGTACTACATATACATTGATATTCCAACAAAATTTTCTTTAGCTTAATTTCCTAATTGTATTTTGTTTCTAGTTTACTGAAACTATGCCTTTTTTTTGCCGTTCCTGATATGAGGAAGAAAATTAATTGTTTTTTGTTTGTTTTTTTGTTTGTTTGTTTTTTAGGAGCGCTATAGTTATGTCTGCCCAGACTTAGTAAAAGAATTTAACAAGTATGACACAGATGGTTCAAAGTGGATTAAACAGTATACTGGAATCAATGCTATCTCAAAGAAAGAATTTTCCATTGATGTTGGTTATGAGAGGTTCTTGGGACCTGAGATCTTCTTTCATCCAGAGGTAATATTTTTTAGATGGAATTGTTTAAAAATATTCAGTACAAAATATTAGTCAACTATAAGATTATTCAGGG